ATCTATCTGTACAAAAGGCTAATATGCAAAGTGTCCCCTCGGGAGTTTGACGGGGAGACTGGCAGTTCAATGGCTCCCTATGACATGCGCTGACCAATGGGGCGCGATGTGGAACATGGCAGGCGAGCAGAAGCAGGGCACTGAGGGAATGAGGGAAGGAGGAGGTGGGGAGGCCAGGTAGAGGGGAACCTGATTGGCCGTGATCACCGGCCAGGCTAGGGACCCTACCGATACATGAATTTTGTGCACAGGGACTCTAGTGTTTAAATTAAGGTTAGAAATCTTAGTGTTTTCCTGTTTTTATTTTTGCACATGTGACCAGCAGGGGGCACTGTGGAACTGCCCTGAGGTTCATGCAAGCTGCACAGTGAGGACCATTTACTGACAGGAGCCCCATGGCCATGCTCTGTGCTCCCTGAAGGGAAAGCAGCAGCCGAGTCCTCTGAGCAGGGACCCTAGTGTGGTCTCAGCAGGTGTTTCCTCCCAGGGCCCCCAAGGGTGAGCCCACCTCCATGCCCCTCAGTCTAGGGTGGGAGCTGAGTTCAGCCCCAGGGCCCAAGGAGGGGCTGGGCAGTCCCTGGAGGGACCCCCATTTGCATGGCAGCCCCTCCTCTGGCAGAGGGTGGGGGAGAAAAGGAGGCCTGGGCAGCCCAGCCCCACTGTGGGCTCAGGGCTGTGAGCACCATGGCCTGGACTCCTCTGCTCCTCGCGCTCCTCTCTCACTGCACAGGTAGGGACAGGCTTGGGACCAGGCTTCTTCCCTTCCTGCTCAGTCTCCTGGGAAAGGTCCCCTGGTCCCTGCCCATCACTGACAAGTGTCTGTGTCTGCAGGGTCCCTCTCCCAGCCTGTGCTGACTCAGCCGCCCTCCCTCTCTGCATCTCTGGGAGCCACAGCCAGACTCACCTGCACCCTGAGCAGTGGCTTCAATGTTGGCGACTATGGAATGGTTTGGTACCAGCAGAAGCCAGCGAGCCCTCCCCGGTACCTGCTGTCCTACAAATCGGACTCAGACAAGTACCAGGGCTCGGGCGTGCCCAGCCGCTTCTCCGGATCCAAAGACGCCTCAGCTAACTCGGCTGTTCTGCACATCGCTGGGCTGCAGCCCGAGGACGAGGCTGACTATCACTGTGACACATGGGACGGCAACGCCAAGACTCCCACAGTGGTCCAGACCCACAGGGAAGGGGGACAAAAACCTCCTCTGCTCCCTGGGCCTGGCCTTGTCCCCCTGCTGGAGGCTCTGAGCAAGTGCAGCTCAGCGGGGACTTGTGCTGTCAGATCCCCACCCGGCACCTGACTGTGGGTGGACAGTCCTTTTGACAATGTCACACCTTTGTCCTCACCTTTCAGGTTGACGTATTGTTCTCATGTCCTTGCTGTGTTCATGTTTTCAGAGACAAAAACTCCTTCCTGGGAGATCACAATGTCCCATGGGAGACACTGAGGAGGTCAAATCAGGGTGATTCAGGCCAAGCTCAGCGCCGGGTGCAGCAGGGACTGATACAGGAGTCAGGTCTGAGCCCTGAAATCGGAATTTCATGATACAAACCCACACGCAGCAAGAACCTGTTGTCTACACATGAGCAGTGAACCCTCAAAATGCAAAGATAACAGCAGCGCTGCCACCTGGGCCGCTGCCGGCTGGAGCAGAGGCCGCCCACTGGGAGGGAGTCCCCCTCAGACAGCACCGGCCGGGCGGTAATGGTTCTGCGGCCCAGGTTCTGTCCCCACCCAGGGCCACGGGACTTGGGGCACAGGGATATGGTCCCCTCTTGTCTTTGTGCTTTTTCACGACTCAGACGCCAAATCATTGACAGAAACGCCTGGAGCCACTGGGCCTTGGCTGCTGCCCCTAGGGCCTGAGGGGACACGTTCTGTCCTGCGGACGCTGGACACCAGGGGCAGCGACTGTGGCTGTGCCGCCCAGAGACAGGCCTGGAGCCGTCACCGCTGTGTCCTGGGAGCTCTGCCTGCGGCATGAGCTTCTGTTCCTGGGACAGATGGAAGCTCCTAGAAACTCCTCATGGGGGTCACTGGGCAGCGACTGGGGATTTCCAACCATAAGAACCCGACCACAGGGCACAGCTCCCAACTCACCACTGAAATGTAAAGTGATGTTAGAAAACGTCTATTCACACCTTTCAACCCGGAGCAGAAGGCGTTCCGTTACCAATGCTTTTCCATCAATTCCTCCGCCCACAGTTTCCACCAATATGCACCATCCTAGAATTTTTAAATCTGCCTTATTGTGACCTTCACAGGTAATAACATACATGCATGTGAAGCTGGCTGAGTGCTGACTAATATAGTGTAAAGTTTTAAACAAGCCTGATCACAGCAATTAGAAAACGTCAACATTTTTTTGACAAGCAGGTCCCCCATGTTCCCCTTTCCTCTCAGATAAATGCCAACGTCTGACTGTGCGTTGAGAACAGATCCCAGGAGTGACCACAGCCCACGGCTCATGGAGAACGATGGTGTCAGGAGGAGGAAATATGGACAGAAAATAACAGTGACCCTGACCCCGGACGAGGACAGCCCACGAGGGCTTCCTCCCCCCCTGCCCAGCCCTGGGGAAGGGCCCCTTTCTCCTCGGGGCCCTGGGTCCACGGGAAGGAGGCCTCCCGCCACCAGGAGTGAATCCCACACAAGACCGAACTGAGTCCCTCACAGAAGGGGACGCGCCCCCACGGGGCTGTGCCTGCTCTGGCCCTGACCTGAGCCCTGACCCTGGTCTAAGAGTTGGTGCAGGAGCCGCCACTTGAGTCCTGACCACGGACCAGCCCTGGGGGATGTGGTCAGACTCCCCCTGAGGACCCCGAGTAGAGACTGAAGGTGCCCCGAGGTGAGGGGAGGCCATAGAGGGGACCCTGGCCTGGCCCTGGGGCAGGGGCCGTGGACAGAGCAGTGGGAAGGCAGAGGTGGCCTCTCATGGGTTCTGGCCCCCATGTCACTCAATGGTGTGTCTGGGCCTGGACACAAGAGGGCGCTGGGGGTTTGCTCCTGAGGATCTGGGTGCTCAGAGCTGGGACCAGCCCCTGACAAAGCCCAGGACCCTCTGCTCAGGACTGTCAGCTGTGACTTCCCCAAACCTGGGCCCACACAGCCCCTCCCCCGCCCACACCAATGGCCATCCTCAGGCAGAGGGCCCTGCCCAGGGCCCAGGGAGGGATCAGAGAGATGGGGTCTCATTTGCATAACAGGACCCTCCCTCCCGCAGACTATGAAGAGGGGAAGGGAGAGGTGTGGGGAGCTCTGCTTCAGCTGTGGGGCCTCAGGAGCAGGACTCAGGGATGACCTCCACCATTGCCTGGGCCCCTCTCCTCCTCACCCTCCTGGCTCACTGCACAGGTGACTGGATAAGGGGACGGGGAAGGGGCCTTGGGAAGACACCTGGGCCCTGCTTCCTCCTCTTGTCTCTAGACCCAGACTCACCATCTCTGTGTCTCCCCCTCTTGCAGGATCCTGGGCTGAGCCTGTGCTGACTCAGCCATCCTCAGTGTCGGGGTCCCCCGGCGAGAGGGTCACCATCTCCTGCACTGGAAGCAGCACCAACGTTGGGGTTGGTGACTATGTGTCCTGGTACCAACAGCTCCCAGGAAAGGCCCCCAAACCCCTCATCTATGAGAGTAGCAAACGACCCACAGGGATTCCGGACCGATTCTCTGGCTCCAGGTCTGGCAGCTCAGCCTCCCTGACCATCACGGGGCTGCAGGCTGAGGACGAGGCCGTCTATTACTGCTTATCACCCGACAGCAGTATCAGCGGTCCCACAGTGCTCCAGGCCTGTGGGGAAGTGAGACAAAAACCCCTCTGGTCTGGGAGGAGGTGAGCTCTCCAGCAGCTGCCTGTTCAGCTCAGCCTGTGACCTGTGGCTTCTGCTTATTCCCTCGCTGACGCCCTGGGCCAGTGATGGCGAACCTTTTGAGCTCGGTGTGTCAGCATTTTGAAAAACCCTAACTTAACTCTGGTGCCGTGTCACATATACAATTTTTTTTAGATTTGCAACCATAGTAAAACAAAGACTTATATTTTTGATATTTATTTTATATATTTAAATGCCATTTAACAAACAAAAATCAACCAAAAATATGAGTTCCAGTGTTACCTCTGACAGGCGTGTCATAGGTTCGCCATCACTGCCCTGGGCCCAGGTTCATCCGGGGACCCTGCCTGGGGGTGAACGGTCCTCCCTCCCCTCCGGCCTCCATGTCACTCAGAGCAGCGCTTTCCCAGGCTCAGGGTCCTGGAGGAAGGGAAGGCCTTTCCCCACCTGCTGGGCCCGTTCCCTCCCCCTGGGCTGCACTCACTGGGCCTGTGAGGCTGAGATGAGTGACAGCTGGTTGGGCCCCGCCCCTGCCTGGGGTTCAGCACTGTGTGCTGTGCTGGAAGGACCCCTGGCCCTGTTCCATCCCATCAGGATTTACTCCCTTTAAGCCGTGTGACTGGTTTCCATTTGCTCTGTCATTGTAAGCACAAAAATCGGCAATTCACAGCTGTCACTATAGCAGATTGGGGGGTGCCATGGTGGGTGCTGAAGGGGGAGGTCCCAGTGGGTGAAGGGGTCCAGGAGGAGACACTTCTGGCTGTGACTACCTGGCTCTGGGAGTGTGGACAGCATGGGGACCCGGCAGGGGGCGCTGTCACACTGTGTCTGTGAAAGCAGCTGAGAGACTGGATCTTAACTGTTCTCAGCACAAGAAATAGCAGAACTTGTAGCCACATCTCATGGCTGAGGTCAAGGAGACGTATTCTGGGATGGTTTTGCAGTTTACACCTCACAGAGTCATTATGTCGTACACCTGACACTAATGAATGTCAATTACATCTCAATTAAAAAATAAATTAAAATAAATCTGAATCTTCTGTCCACGGAAAAACCAGCAGGTGGAAGTCTGTAGTAGCTTTATTACCTCCCTCGCCCACCCAGACTGAGAGCAGCCAGGTGTCGGTGCCTGGAGGTGTGTGACAGCTGTGAATGTAGGAATGTCCTCCAATAAGTGGTTGGGATGATTTAAAAAGGGGATGTGACCCGGCCAGCATGGCTCAGTGGTTGAGCATTGACCTTGAACCAGGAGGTCACGGTTCAATTCCTGGTCAGGCAGGATGCATGTCTGGGTTTTGGGCTCCATCACCAGTGAGGTGTGTGCAAGAGGCAGCTAATCCATGATTCTCTCTCATCATTGATCTTTCTATCTCTCCCTCTCCTTCTCCCTCTCCCGCTCCCTCTCCCTTCCTCTATGAAATCAATAAACATATATCTTTAAAAAAGAAGTAAGGCTGGTTTGGAGGTTTTTAATACCTAGATCTTCCAAGGACATGAAGCACCTTCTTCCCTGCTGGTTAGGTTTCCTCTTACCTCAGACCCCGCCCCCCCCATCTCCTGTGAATGATTTAATTCCCCTCCAGCCTCCAGTGGTTTCAGCGGAAACTGCCCGAATCTGTGGCCCAAAGGTTGGGAGGCCCATTGTCCGTGTGACCATCGGAAGCTGGGTCTCTGCTTCCTCACTTGGCCCCCAGGCTGGTCACCCTGAGACGTGAAGCTGCGGGTCTGCTGGTGACAAGGCCTCTCCAGGGCCTGTGGCAGGTGCTTCTCCTCCGGGGATGGACGGAAGCTCCTAGAACCTCCTCGTGGGGGTCACTGCCCAGCGACTCGGGATTTTCAACTGTTAGGACCAGACCACAGGGCACAGCTCCCATCTCACGACTGAAATGTAAAGTGATGTTAGAAAACGTCAATTCACACCTTTTCAACCCAGAGCAGAATGCACTGCGTTTCCAATGCTTTTCCATCAATTCCTCTAACAACAATTTCCACCAATATGCATCATTGTAGAATTTTTAAATCAGCCTCATTTTGACTTTCACATATAAAACATACATGCATTTCAAGCTGGCAGAGCGGTGACTAATATATAAAGTTATTAAATGAAGCCCTATCACAGCAATTAGAAATTTTAACCACATTTTTGCTTAGCCCGTCCTGCATGTCCCCCTTTCCTCTCAGATAAATGCCAACGTCTGACTGTGCGTTGAGAACAGATCCCAGGAGTGACCACAGCCCACGGCTCATGGAGAGCGATGGTGTCAGGAGGAGGAAATATAGACAGAAAATAACAGTGACCCCTGACCCCGGACGAGGACAGCCCACGAGGGCTTCCTCCCCCCCCTGCCCAGCCCTGGGGAAGGGCCCCTTTCTCCTCTGGGTCCTGGGTCCAAGGGAAGGAGGCCTCCCGCCACCAGGAGTGAATCCCCCACAAGACAGAACCGAGTCCCGCACAGAAGGGGACGCGCCCCCACGGGGCTGTCCCTGCTCTGGCCCTGACCTGAGCCCTGACCCTGGTCTAAGAGTTGGTGCAGGAGCTGCCACTTGAGTCCTGACCACGGACCAGCCCAGGGAGCTGTGGTCAGACTCCCCCTGAGGACGCTGAGTGGAGACTGAAGGTGCCCCGAGGTGAGGGGAGGCCATAGAGGGGACCCTGGCCTGACCCTGGGGCAGGAGCAGTGGACAGAGAAGTGGGAAGGCAGAGGTGGCCTCTCATGGGTTCTGGTCCCCATGTCACTCAATGGTGTGTCTGGGCCTGGACACTAGAGGGCACTGTGGGTTTGCTCCTGAGGGATCTGGGTGCTCAGAGCTGGGACCAGCCCCTGACAAAGCCCAGGACCATCTGCTCAGGGCTGTCAGCTGGGACTTCCCCAAACCTGGGCCCCACACAGCCCCTCCCCCGCCCACACCAATGGCCATCCTCAGGCAGAGGGCCCTGCCCAGGGCCCAGGGAGAGATCAGATAGATGGGGTCTTATTTGCATAACAGGACCCTCCCTCCCACAGACTATGAAGAGGGGAAGGGAGAGGTGTGGGGAGCTCTGCTTCAGCTGTGGGGCCTCAGGAGCAGGACTCAGGGATGACCTCCACCATGGCCTGGGCCCCTCTCCTCCTCACCCTCCTGGCTCACTGCACAGGTGACTGGATGAGGGGATGGGGAAGGGGCCTTGGGAAGACACATGGGCCCTGCTTCCTCCTCTTGTCTCTAGACCCAGACTCACCATCTCTGTGTCTCCCCCTCTTGCAGGATCCTGGGCCCAGTCTGTGCTGACTCAGCCATCCTCAGTGTCGGGGTCCCCGGGCGAGAGGGTCACCATCTCCTGCACTGGAAGCAGCACCAACGTTGGGTATGGTGACTATGTGTCCTGGTACCAGCAGCTCCCAGGAAAGGCCCCCAAACTCCTCATCTATCAGAGTAGCAAACGACCCACAGGGATTCCGGACAGATTCTCTGGCTCCAGGTCTGGCAGCTCAGCCTCCCTGACCATCACGGGGCTGCAGGCTGAGGACGAGGCCCACTATTACTGCTCATCACCAGACAGCAGTATCGACGGTCCCACAGTGCTCCAGGCCTGTGGGGAAGTGAGACAAAAACCCCTCAGGACTGCAAGGGGGTGAGCTCTCCAGCAGCTGCCTGCTCAGCTCAGCCTGTGATCTGTGGCTTCTGCTTATTCCCTCGCTGACGCCCTGGGTCAGTGATGGCGAACCTTTTGAGCTCAGCGTGTCAGCATTTTGAAAAACCCTAACTTAACTCTGGTGCCGAGTCACATATAGAAATTTTTTGATATTTGCAACCATAGTAAAACAAAAACTTGTATTTTTGATGTTTATTTTATATATTTAAATGCCATTTAACAAAGAAAAATCAACCAAAAAAATGAGTTCGCGTGTCACCTCTGACAGGTGGGTGCTGAAGGGGGTGGTCCCAGTGGGTGAAGGGGTCCAGGAGGAGACACTTCCTGCTGTGACTTCCTGGCTCTGGGAGTGTGGACAGCATGGGGACCCGGCAGGGGCGCTGTCACACTGTGTCTGTGAAAGCAGCTGAGAGACTGGATCTTAACTGTTCTCAGCACAAGAAATAGGAAAATTTGTAGCCACGTCTGATGGCAGAGGTCAAGGAGACGTATTCTGGGATGGTTCTGCAGTTTACACCTCACAGAGTCATTAGGTATGTCGTACACCTAACCCTAATCAATGTCAATTACATCTCAATTACAAACAAATTAAAATAAATCAGAATCTTCTGTTTCCCAAAAACCAGCAGGTGGAAGTCTATAGCAGCTTTATTAACGCCCTAAACCAGCGGTTCTCAACCTTTTCTGCACATTAGAACCACCTGAGAATCTTGTTAAAATCCTGATTTCTGGTTCTCATCCTCCAGAAATTCTGTTTCTTTGTTATGGGGCGGGGTCACAACAGGCAGGTGCTTCTCCTCCGGGGACGGACAGAAGCTCCTAGAACCTCCTCGTAGGGGTCACGGTGCAGCGACTAAGGGTTTTCAACCATCAGGACCCGATCACCGTGATTTTAAGCACAAAAATGGGCAATTCACAACTCGCACACTGTAACCTATTGGGGGTTCCAGAGGTACAGCTCCCAACGCACGAATGAGATGTAAAGTGATGTTAGAAAAATGTGTACTCACACCTTTTCATTCCAGAGCAGAAGGCATTGCATTTCCAATCCTTTTCCATCAATACTTCTACCCACAATTTTAATCAATATGCATCATCCTTGAATTTTACGATCAGCCTTATTGTGACTTTTACATATAATAACATACATGCATTTAAAACATTTATTCATTTCACAGAGGAAGGGACAGGGAGAGAGAGAAAAACATGAATGATGAGAGAATAATGGACCGGCTGCCTCCTGTGTACCCCCTACTGGGGAGGGATTCCCAAACCTGGGCATGTGCCCTGACTGGGAATCAGACCCTGACTCCTGATACATAGGTTGATGCTCAACCACTGAGCCACACCGGCCGGGCCAGACATGCATGTGAAGCTGGCTGAGTGGTGACTAATATATAAAGTTATTAAATGAAGCCCTAGCACAGTAATTAGAAATCTTAACCACAGTTTTGCTCAGCGCGTCCTGCATGTTCCCCTTTTCCTCTCAGATAAATGCCAACGTCTGACTGTGCGTTGAGAACAGATCCCAGGAGTGACCACAGCCCACGGCTCATGGAGAACGATGGTGTCAGGAGGAGGAAATATGGACAGAAAATAACAGTGACCCTGACCCCGGAGTAGGACAGCCCACGAGGGCTTCCTCCCCCCCCTGCCCAGCCTGGGGAAGGGCCCCTTTCTCCTCGGGGCCCTGGGTCCACGGGAAGGAGGCCTCCCGCCACCAGGAGTGAATCCCACACAAGACAGAACCCGAGTCCCGCACAGAAGGGGACGCGCCCCCACGGGGCTGTGCCTGCTCTGGCCCTGACCTGAGCCCTGACCCTGGTCTAAGAGTTGGTGCAGGAGCCGCCACTTGACTCCTGACCACGGACCAGCCCAGGGAGCTGTGGTCAGACTCCCCCTGAGGACGCCGAGTAGAGACTGAAGGTGCCCCGAGGTGAGGGGAGGCCATAGAGGGGACCCTGGCCTGGCTCTAGGGCAGGGGCAGTGGACAGAGCAGTGGGAAGGCAGAGGTGGTCTCTCATGGGTTCTGGCCCCCATGTCACTCAATGGTGTGTCTGGGCCTGGACACTAGAGGGCGCTGGGGGTTTGCTCCTGAGGATCTGGGTGCTCATAGCTGGGACCAGCCCCTGACAAAGGCCAGGACCATCTGCTCAGGGCTGTCAGCTGGGACTTCCCCAAACCTGGGCCCACACAGCCCCTCCCCCACCCACACCAATGGCCATCCTCAGGCAGAGGGCCCTGCCCAGGGCCCAGGGAGGGATCAGATAGATGGGGTCTCATTTGCATAACAGGACCCTCCCTCCTGCAGACTATGAAGAGGGGAAGGGAGAGGTGTGGGGAGCTCTGCTTCAGCTGTGGGGCCTCAGGAGCAGGACTCAGGGATGACCTCCACCATGGCCTGGGCCCCTCTCCTCCTCACCCTCCTGGCTCACTGCACAGGTGACTGGATGAGGGGACGGGGAAGGGGCCTTGGGAAGACACATGGGCCCTGCTTCCTCCTCTTGTCTCTAGACCCAGACTCACCATCTCTGTGTCTCTCCCTCTTGCAGGATCCTGGGCCCAGTCTGTGCTGACTCAGCCATCCTCAGTGTCGGGGTCCCCGGGCGAGAGGGTCACCATCTCCTGCACTGGAAGCAGCTCCAACATTGGGCGTGGTGACTATGTGTCCTGGTACCAGCAGCTCCCAGGAAAGGCCCCCAAACTCCTCATCTATGAGAGTAGCAAACGACCCACAGGGATTCCGGACCGATTCTCTGGCTCCAGGTCTGGCAGCTCAGCCTCCCTGACCATCACGGGGCTGCAGGCTGAGTACGAGGCCGACTATTATTGCGAGTCCTATGACAGCAGTATCTATAGTTCCACAGTGCTGCAGGCCTGTGGGGAAGTGAGACAAAAACCCCTCTGGTCTGCGAGGGGGTGAGCTCCCCAGCAGCTGCCTGCTCAGCTCAGCCTGTGACCTGTGGCTTCTGCTTATTCCATCACTGATGCCCTGGGCCCGGGTTCATCCGGGACCCTGCCTGGGGGTGAAGGGTCCTCCCTCCCCTCCGGCCTCCATGTCACTCAGAGCAGCGCTTTCCAAGGCTCAGGGTCTTGGAGGAAGGGAAGGCCTCTCCCACCCACAGGCCCCGTTCCCTCCCCCTGGGCTGCACTCACTGGGCCTGTGAGGCTGAGATGAGTGACAGCTGGCTGGGCCCCGCTCCTGCCTGGGGCTCAGCACTGTGTGCTGTGCTGGAAGGACCCCTGGCCCTGTTCGCATCCCATCAGGATTCACTCCCTTTAAGTCTTGTGACTGGTTTCCATTTGCTCTGTGATTTTAAGCACAAAAATCCGCAATTCACAGCTGTCACTATAGCAGATTGGGGGGTGCCATGGTGGGCGCTGAAGGGGGTGGTCCAAGTGGGTGAAGGAGTCCATGAGGAGACACTTCCTGCTGTGACTACCTGGCTCTGGGAGTGTGGATAGCATGGGGACCCGGCAGGGGGCGCTGTCACACTGTGTCTTGAAAGCAGCCAAGAGACTGGATCTTATCTGTTCTCAGCACAAGAAATAGCAGAACTTGTAGCCACGTCTGATGGCTGAGGTCAAGGACACGCATTGTGGGATGGTTCTGCAGTTTACACCTCACAGAGTCATTAGGTCGTACATCTGACACTAATTAATGTGAATTACATCTCAATTAAATAATAAATTAAAATAAATCTGAATCTTCTGTTCACAAAAAACCACCACCTGGAAGTCAATAACAGCCTTATTAACCCCGTAGTCCTGGGGTTCTCAACCTGTGGGTCGTGACCTCTTGGGGGTAGACAACCCTTTCACAGGAGTCGCCTAAGACCATCAGAGAACACATATATAATTACATATTGTTTTTGTAATTAATCACTATGCTTTAATTATATTCCATTTGTAACAATGAAAATACATCCTGCATATCAGATATTTACATTAAGATTTATAACAGTAGCAAAATTACAGTTAGGAAGTAGCACCGAAAAGAATTTTATGGTTGGGGGTCACCACAACGTGAGGAACTGTATTAAAGGGTCGTGGCATGAGGAAGGTTGAGAACCACTGATCTAGATGATCAGGGATGTCAGCTGGGACTTCCCCAAACCTGGGCCCCACACAGCCCCACCCCCGCCCACACCAATGGCCATCCTCAGGCAGAGGACCCTGCCCAGGGCCCAGGGAAGGATCAGATAGATGGGGTCTCATTTGCATAACAGGACCCTCCCTCCCGCAGACTATGAAGAGGGGAAGGGAGAGGTGTGGGGAGCTCTGCTTCAGCTGTGGGGCCTCAGGAGCAGGACTCAGGGATGACCTCCACCATGGCCTGGGCCCCTCTCCTCCTCACCCTCCTGGCTCACTGCACAGGTGACTGGATGAGGGGACGGGGAAGGGGCCTTGGGAAGACACATGGGCCCTGCTTCCTCCTCTTGTCTCTAGACCCAGACTCACCATCTCTGTGTCTCCCCCTCTTTCAGGATCCTGGGCCCAGTCTGTGCTGACTCAGCCATCCTCAGTGTCCGGGTCCCCGGGCCAGAGGGTCACCATCTCCTGCACTGGAAGCAGCTCCAACATTGGGGATAACTATGTGAACTGGTACCAGCAGCTCCCAGGAAAGGCCCCCAAACTCATTATATATCTTGATAGCATTACAGAATCAGGGGTCCCAGATCGATTCTCTGGCTCCAAGTCTGGAAACTCAGGCACCCTGACCATCACGGGGCTGCAGGCTGAGGACGAGGCCGACTATTACTGCTCAGCATGGGACGACAGTCTCAATGCTCCCACAGTGCTCCAGGCCTGTGGGGAAGTGAGACAAAAACCCCTCTGGTCTGTGAGGGGGTGAGCCCCCCAGCAGCTGCCTGTTCAGCTCAGCCTGTGACCTGTGGCTTCTGCTTATTCACTCGCTGACGGCCTGGGCCCAGGTTCATACGGGGACCCTGCCTGGGGGTGAAGGGTCCTCCCTCCCCTCCGGCCTCCAGGTCACTCAGAGCAGCACTTTCCCAGGCTCAGGGTCCTGGAGGAAGGGAAGGCCTCTCCCCACCCGCGGGGCCCCGTTCCCTCCCCCTGGGCTGCACTCACTGGGCCTGTGAGGCTGAGATGAGTGACAGCTGGTGGACCCCGCCGCTGCCTGGGGCTCAGCACTGTGTGCTATGCTGGAAGGACCCCTGGCCCTGTTCCATCCCATCAGGATTTACTCCCTTTAAGCGGTGCTACTGGTTTCCATTCGCTCTGTGATTTTAAGTACAACAATCGGCCATTCACAGCTGTCACTGTAGCAGATTGGGGGGTGCCATGGTAGGCCCTGAAGGGGGTGGTCCATGTGGGTGAAGGGGTCCAGGAGGAGACACTTCCTGCTGTGACTACCTGGCTCTGGGAGTGTGGACAGCATGGGGACCCGGCAGGTGGCGCTGTCACACTGTGTCTGTGAAAGCAGCTGAGAGACTGGATCTTAACTGTCCTCAGCACAAGAAATAGCAGAACTTGTAGCCACGTCTGATGGCTGAGGTCAAGGAGACGCATTGTGGGATGGTTCTGCAGTATACACCTCACAGCGTCATTATGTCTTACACCTGACACTAATTAATGTGAATTACATCTCAATTAAAAATAAATTAAAATAAACCTGAATCTTCTGTGCACAAAAAAAAACAGGCACATGGAAGTCTGAAGTTGCTTTATTAACCCCCTCGAGTGAGAGCAGCCAGAAAGGCCTGGTGCCAGTGGGCATTGGCCGCTGTAGCTGGGAGCTGAGGGCATAATTTCTGTCCCGTGGAAGCTGGACACCAGGGGCAGTGACTGTGGCTGTGCCGCCCAGAGACAAGCCTGGAGCCGACACCGCTGTGTCCTGGGAGCTCTGCCTGCGGCAGGAGCTTCTGTTCCTGGGACGGATGGAAGCTCCTAGAAACTCCTCGTGGGGGTCTCTGGGCAGGGACTGGGGATTTCCAACCAGCAGGACCCGACCACAGGGCACAGCTCCCAACTCACAACTGAAATGTAAAGTGATGTTAGAAAACGTCTATTCACACCTTTCAACCCAGAGCAGAAGGCGTTCCGTTACCAATGCTTTTCCATCAATTCCTTCCGCCCACAGTTTCCACCAATATGCACCATCCTAGAATTTTGAAATCAGCCTTATTGTGACTTTCACAGGTAATAACATACATGCATGTGAAGCTGGCTGAGTGCTGACTAATATAGTGTAAAGTGTTAAATAAACCCAATCACAGCAATTAGAAAACATCAACATTTTTTTGACAAGCCGTTCCCGCATGTTCCCCTTTTCCTCTCAGATAAATGCCAACGTCTGACTGTGCGTTGAGAACAGATCCCAGGAGTGACCACAGCCCACGGCTCATGGAGAACGATGGTGTCAGGAGGAGGAAATATGGACAGAAAATAACAGTGACCCCTGGCCACGGACGAGGACAGCCCACGAGGCTTCCTCCCCCCCCTGCCCAGCCCTGGGGAAGGGCCCCTTTCTCCTCGGGGCCCTGGGTCCACGGGAAGGAGGCCTCCTGCCACCAGGAGTGAATCCCACACAAGACAGAACCCGAGTCCCGCACAGAAGGGGACGCGCCCCCACGGGCTGTGCCTGCTCTGGCCCTGACCTGAGCCCTGACCCTGGTCTAAGAGTTGGTGGAGGAGCCGCCACTTGAGTCCTGACCACGGACCAGCCCAGGGAGCTGTGGTCAGACTCCCCCTGAGGACGCCGAGTAGAGACTGAAGGTGCCCCGAGGTGAGGGGAGGGCATAGAGGGGACCCTGGCCTGGCCCTAGGACAGGGGCAGTGGACAGAGCAGTGGGAAGGCAGAGGTGGCCTCTCATGGGTTCTGGCCCCCATGTCACTCAATGGTGTGTCTGGGCCTGGACACTAGAGGGCGCTGGGGGTTTGCTCCTGAGGATCTGGGTGCTCATAGCTGGGACCAGCCCCTGACAAAGGCCAGGACCATCTGCTCAGGGCTGTCAGCTGGGACTTCCCCAAACCTGGGCCCACACAGCCCCTCCCCCGCCAACACCAATGGCCATCCTCAGGCAGAGGGCCCTGCCCAGGGCCCAGGGAGGGATCAGATAGAAGGGGTCTCATTTGCATAACAGGTCCCTCCCTCCCACAGACTATGAAGAGGGGAAGGGAGAGGTGTGGGGAGCTCTGCTTCAGCTGTGGGGCCTCAGGAGGCAGGACTCAGGGATGACCTCCACCATGGCCTGGGCCCCTCTCCTCCTCACCCTCCTGGCTCACTGCACAGGTGACTGGATGAGGGGATGGGGAAGGGGCCTTGGGAAGACACATGGGCCCTGCGTCCTCCTCTTGTCTCTAGACCCAGACTCACCATCTCTGTGTCTCCCCCTCTTGCAGGATCCTGGGCCCAGTCTGTGCTGACTCAGCCATCCTCAGTGTCGGGGTCCCCGGGCGAGAGGGTCACCATCTCCTGCACTGGAAGCAGCTCCAACATTGGGGGTGGTTCCTATGTGTACTGGTACCAGCAGCTCCCAGGAAAGGCCCCCAAACTCATCATCTATGATAATAGCAACCGACCCTCAGGGGTCCCTGATCGATTCTCTGGCTCCAAGTCTGGCAACTCAGGCATCCTGACCATCACGGGGCTGCAGGCTGAGGACGAGGCTGACTATTACTGCTCAGCAGCCGACAGCAGTATCTATAGTTCCACAGTGCTGCAGGCCTGTGGGGAAGTGAGACAAAAACCCCTCTGGTCTGCGAGGGGGTGAGCTCTCCAGCAGCTGTCTGCTCAGCTCAGCCTGTGACCTGTGGCTTCTGCTTATTCCCTTCCTGACGCCCTGGGCCCAGGTTCATCCGGGGACCCTGCCTGGGGGTGAAGGGTCCTCCCTCACCCTGCAACCTCCATGTCACTCACAGCAGCGCTTTCCCAGGCTCAGGGTCCTGGAGGAAGGGAAGGCCTGTCCCACCCACGGGGCCGTTCCCTCCCCTTGGGCTGCACTCACTGGGCCTGTGAGGCTGAGATGAGTGATAGCTGATGGGCCCCGCCCCTGCCTGGGGCTCAGCACTGTGTGCTGTGCTGGAAGGACCCCTGGCCCTGTTCCATCCCATCAGGATCTACTCCCTTTAAGTCTTGTGACTGGTTTCCATTTGCTCTGTGATTTTAAGCCTCCAAATCTGCAATTCACTGCTGTCACTATAGCAGATTGGGTAGGGGGGTGCCACGGTGGGTGCTGAAAGGGGTGGTCCCAGTGGGTGAAGGGGTCCAGGAGGAGACACTTCTGGCTGTGACTACCTGGCTCTGGGAGTGTGGACAGCATGGGGACCGGCAGGGGGCGCTGTCACACTGTGTCTGTGAAAGCAGCTGAGAGACTGGATCTTAACTGTTCTCAGCACAAGAAATAGCAGAGCTTGTAGCCACGTCTGATGGCTGAGGTCAAGGAGACGTATTCTGGGATGGTTCTGCAGGTTACACCTCACAGAGTCATTATGTCGTACACCTGACAGTAATTAATGTCAATTACATCTCAGTTAAAAATAAATTAAAATAAATCTGAATCTTCTTCCCACAGAAAAACCAGCACGTGGAAGTCTATAGCAGCTTTATTAACCCCCTAGCAGTGGTCGGCAAACTCATTAGTCAACAGAGCCAAATATGAACAGTACTCCGATGGAAATTTCTTTTGAGAGCCAAATTATTTAAACTTATACTATATAGGTAGGGACATTGTTATTAACTTAATTAGGGTACTCCTAAGGCTCAGGAAGAGCCACTCTCAAGGGGCAAAGAGCCGCCTGTGGCTCGCGAGCTGCAGTTTGCCGATAAGGGCCCTAGACCGAGAGCAGCCAGGATTTGGTGCCTGGAGTTTGTGACAGTTGTGAGTGGCCCGTTTTAAAAAGGTGATGTGGTCCGGCCGGCGAGGCCCAGTGGTTCAGCATCGACCTAGGACCCAGGAGGTACGGTTAGATTCCAGGTCAGGGCACAAGCCCAGGTTGTAGGCTCGATCCCCGTTGGAGGGCGTGCAGGAGGCAGCCGGTCAGTGATTCTCTCTCATCATTGATGTTTCTATCTCTCTCTCCCTCTCCCTTCCTCTCTGAAATCAATAACAATATATTACATAGATATAAACCAAGAACACACCCCGGGCTTTATGGGGGAGCACTTTGACAGTCTGCGTGCAGGGGGTCCCCTCCGGCAGGAGGCCTTCCAGGGACCACAGCGTTGTGTCCCCATCCAGAAGGCAAAGAGGCCGGGGAGCTTCAGGGGGTGGAGGGGCTGAGAGAGGCGGCCATTCGCTCAGCAGCTCAGCGAGGAGGCGGCGCTGGGTCACAGACCCCAGGGGGCAGCAGTGAGTTAAGGTTGTTCATGGCATTGAGGTCTGTCTCTCCATGACCAGGAGGTGGCGCTGCAGAGCAGGACGCTTTTCCTGGCCAGGATGTGCTGACTTCAGCCACAATCTCAATAGCAGGTGGAAAAATTGCAGTTGGTGGTGGTGATTGAAAAAATATGTATATTTGTATTGATTTCACAGAGGAAGGGAGAGGGAGCGAGAGATAAAAACATCAGTGATGAGAGAGAGTCATTGATCGACTGCCTCCTGCATGCCCACCACTGGGGATCGAGCCCACAACCCGGGCCTGTGCCCTTGACCGGAATCGAACCTGGGACCCTCCAGTCCGCAGGCCGACGCTCTATCCACTGAGCCACACCGGCCAGGGTGGTTGCGGTGATTCTTTGCACAGATGATGCGGAGTGCTGTGCAGTAAAAACTCCCCCAGGCCCTGTGCCAATGACCCGGCCCCTGTGGTTCATCGATAGAAAACCCCGCCCACAGGTACTCTCACGCTTTCTCTCTCCTTCTCCGCCAGAGAGCCAATCATCTGTCACCCTTGTCACTGGTTCAGGCTTCCTGGGACAGTCCAGGCCGCCCACCAACATAGGACAAGGAAACGCAGGCACAGACCACGTCAGGGACGGAACCCAAGCTCGGAGCGGCCTCCTGCTCATTCTCCTGCAAGCGAAGCCCTCTAGGTCCCTCGGGAAAACGCAGCAGGTTGCCACACACACACACACACACACACACACACACAGACACACACACACAGACACACACACAGACTCACACACAGACACACACACACACGCACAGACACACACACACAGACACACACACAGACACACGCGCAGACACACACACAGACACACACAGACACACAGACACACAGACAGACACACACAGAAACACAGACAGACACACACACACTGACACACACACAGAAACACAGACAGACACACACACACACACACACACAGACATGCTCAGAGTCGGATCTTTCGCCCGAGCCCTTGTCACGACCAAGGGTCCCCAGGATGGACCCGTGACCGGTCTGCTTGGCTCCCAGACGGTCTCAGAACCCAGAACATTCCAAACCAACTGTCACGTGGCAGCTCTGCCCAGAATGAGCAGTTACAGTGGGGCCTTGACTTATGAGTGTCCCGATTAATGAGGTTTTTGAGATACCAGCTGTCTCTCCGCCTGATTTTTTGCATTGAGTTGACAGAGTAATTTGAGTTAACGAGCTCCTTAACGAGCTCGGTCTCCGGTCTCAGAACGAATTAAACTCATAAGTCAAGGCCCCACTGTACTTCCACTGCCCAGCCCTGGGCGAGGGCTCCTGCCTCACACGGGGAGGGCGGCCGGGGCCTGGCTGGGTTCACCTGTGGAGTCTGTGGGGCCTGGTGCGAGGCTGACTCGGGATGGGAGCTACTGTCTGTGCAGCCCTGACGGAGGCCCGGGGAGCCCGCAGGGGCTGCCCTCACACGTGACTTTTCAGAGAATCAGTCCTGGGTGGTAGCAGTGCTGATGGGTGAAGAGCGACGCTTGTCCACAGGAAATGGAAAGGGGGGTGTGAGAGCGTGGGGGTGACAGCGGAGAAACATGGCAATATCCGGCGTTGTCAGGGAACTAGGACCCCACCCGGCTGGCGGGTGTAAGTGAGCACCGCTGGAACGGGGAGCAGGGACTGAGCATGCGCATGCCCTCCGCCTCTGCGGCCGCATCTGGGTATTATTGAGAATATTGCACTGTTTGTTGTAGGAAAACGTGGAAAACTAAATGTCTACTCTATACAATACACACACACACGGCATATACCATATGCTGGTATTGCATATATACCTAGGATACTCACAAACGTGTATATATATATGTTGATTTTGGGTGATGCTTGAGATGGGTTTTTATAGCCTCTATGTCACCCAGTCTAGAGAACTACTTGCCTCATGTTGCTCAGGTTGGTGTGACAATAAAGACCTTATTGTTTAAGCCCCAGCAGAGGTTCATACCGATGTAAAATACACACACATACGTATAGATCAGTACAGTGGTACATGCATATGCCGAACGCTTCAGCAATTAGTAGAAATGACCTGGCTCTATATGTGATCACGGCCAGGTCTCCAGAACACAATGCTGAGTGAAAAAAAAATGCAGCCAAGTCACACGGACAGCAGAAGCCTATCCTGTGTGAAACGGAAAACTTGGGAACAAATTCAAAACGCGTATCACAGCCTCCCGCGGCCTGCTGTGATCTCTGAGGTCCGTAAGTTGGTTTGTAGACTCTCTCGCTCTCTTAAACGTAAGGCGAGACTCTGTCGTGTTTCCTTCTCTGTCCACTCCTGTCTCCACACCGTTCGTGGAAGGAGAATTGTCCATCCTCCTCGGAAAACAGCTGGGTGGCTGCTGAGGACGCTAGCTCACTGCGTCTCACAGGGCCCGGTCATGCCACTCCTTGGTGTAGTCCAAGAGAAAAGAAGGCATACATGTCTGTACAACACTCGCACACACGTGCTTAGTAGAACAGTGTCTGGCACACAGCAAGCCTTCCATAAATACTTGAATGAGTGAGTGAATGAATGAATGAATGGTTCAGAAGGAAAGATGCCGTGTAAGGGGGCGGCTGGGGAAGGCCAGGCGGCTTCGGGGAACAGCTGTCGGAGTCTGGCTGGCAGGACAGCTGGCCCCTGGCCAGAGAGTGGGGGCCTGGGCTGGTGCCCAGAAGTGGCCCACCATGGCCATAAGGCGTGGGAGGCAGGCGGTGGTCTTTCGCCCCGACGGGAAGCTGGACTTGTTGCAGGAGTGGCTGCCAGGCGGACAGCAGGGGCCTGAGTGCAGAGCTGGAACCGGTCAGTCAGGGTCACTGAAGGGAGACCGGCCACGCCTGCACCAATCGCTGGCTCTTGTGCTCAATAAAAAAAGAGAGAAAGCTGGGAAATGTGGGAGGGGCCTTCTCAGGGCTATGGCCTTGCAGTGTGCCTCCAGCACCCTCTATTGGCAAAGCCTGGTACTGCACCAGCTGGCAAAGCCACTGTTTTCATCTGAACAGCATCTCTCCTTTTTACAAAAATCTCCGCCTCCCTCTCCAATGAGGAGACACATGCTCCCATGAGTCATGGAACACAGCGAACTCTATTAACTTCTCAAGGCCAGCCACAGTTCCACTGAATATCTTCCTGGCCTCCAACAACCTGAATATAAACACTAGGGGCCCAATGCACAAAATCTGTGCAAGGGGCTCGGCCCTCCCAGCCCCGGCTTCCTCCGGAAGGTCATCTGGAAGGACGTCCGGAAGGTCATCCGGCTGTCCAGTCTAATTAACATTTTACGCTTTTATTATTATAGATAGCAATACCGAGAAGAGAGTATGTGGTTAAGAAATACAAACAGATATGGACATAGAACGAGCCAAGAAAAAAAGGTGCGAAGTTCCTGCAGTTCTTGGGGCATCGGTCATGAAAATGGGGCTGTGAGATAAGCCACAGGCCGTGCAAACAATGACTTTATTTTATTTTATTTTTTAGTATAAGGATGTCCCAACTATTTCATGTGACACAACTTACACGAAAAAGTTATTCGTTGTTTATCTGAAATCCACATTTAACTGGACATCTGTGTTGTTTGTAATTTGCTAACCTGGTTACCCTCGTCATGAGGTCATCGTTACTGTCTACGACCTGTTTCTCCCGCCACCGATTGGATATTGTTATTTCTCTGGCCCTGAGCCCGAACCTCAGCCGTCACGGATCTTCTCCTGGCGGTGGCGGCAGATATAAACCTTCGTGCTTTGAGGCTCTGAGTCCTAAGAGGTCCCGAGAGGCCTCCGGAGCCCCTGGTGCCCTCAGTTCTGCACAAAGTCCTGGTGTAACTGCAGCCTGATTTCTAGGAGTCCAACCCGAGCCTCTTCCCTGCCCGTTGGAGCGACCGTAGCGCCCCCCGGTGGGAGCATGATCCGTGGGGAGCTAAGCTCTCCGAAGCCGCAGAGGTCAGAGTGAGTGCATCCGCAGGACTCTGTGAAGGAAGACATTCCTGCCTCCACCTCCGGATCCCAGGCGCAAGGAGCTCGGCTCTGGGAGAGGGGCCGCGCCCCAGAATGGTCTTTGATTCGAAGCGCGCATTGCAACCCCCCGAAGACACACGGCCACCTCTCAGGGTGTTGCTCCCACCGCAGAGCCCTCAGTAAGCCGCCCCGCTTCTTGCATGAGGCCGGTCGCCTCTGGGCAACGGGGTACATATATCTACGCTCAGACTCAGACGAGAGAACCCCCGGTGCAGGTCCTTGGCTGGGGAACAAGTCCCCGGTTAGACGCGGTGCTTTGGGGGGACAGCCGCGATGGTGGCTGAGACGTCCCGAGCGCCCAGGGAGGGCGGCGCTGGAAGAAGCATCACAGGCGGGGACAGCAAGTCTCGACCCAGAGTCTGTGCCCCTTCGGTGATGCAAGAGGTGCCATGGCATCAACTCGCCACCAGGCGGCCCCGGGGGCGCCCCCAGGGAATGGTGCTGTACCTGGGGTTCCCTGTGGTTCGCAGTTCTGGGCGGGTGAGCCACTAGGTGGCAGCAGCACGCGGGCCAGCTGGGTGAGGGGGAGACCGTGCCCACCAGCTCAGGGCCGCTCTGTGCCTGCCACCTGGGTCCCTCTGTTCACGGGCCCGTTGGGCCGACGCTGGCAGGGCTGGGAGCCAGGCCGGCGGGCACCCCGCACTGCATCCCCCTGACCCCTGGTCACCGAGGCTCTTTTGCAGGGCGCTCCGCTGCCCGTGGGCGGCCAGGGGTGGGAGTATCTTTACGCGTGTCCGTCCTGGGGGCCGGTCCTCCACCTGCCTCCGCTCCCCGGGGCCATGTCCTTTCCGGCGCTGACCTGCACCCCTGTGCCTCGGCTGTCCTGGCTCAACACTGGGGACTGGGTGGGTGCGCTGCGGGCATCGCTTTCCGCAGCTCGGGGGGCTGGGGTGCCTCAGACCCGGCGTTTGCAGGTTCGGTGCCTGATGTGAGCCCGTCTGGCCTTCTGTCTGCGCGTGGAGAGAGGGGGAGCTGGGGATGGACGTAGACGCTGACGTCTCTCTCTCCCTCTCCTTCTAAGGGCATCCCCTCCACCCCCAGGGTCCCCCCCTGACCTCATCCAACCCGAATTTCCGCCCAAAGACCCCTTCCCCAAAGACCACCATGTCGGTGCCAAGGGCCGCAGCCTGTGGATTTTGCACTTGCTGTTCCTCTGCCGGGAGCACCCGTTCCCAGGCACCTTCCCCGCTAGTGCCCTGGCGGCTCCCAGGATGGCCTCTGTGACCACCATCTAACCAGTAGCGCGGCTCTCCCCGCCCCGCGTGGCGTCATGCGGGGTTCGCTTGGGCCTGTGCCCCCCGGGATCTGCTGCAGGACTAGGTCTCAGGGCCACTCCAGGGCCTGAGGCAGCCCGGGCGCTGGGGCTGCTCAGTAGCGACGTGCGGAATGGAAGGCGCTTGTTTTTTTCTCTGGGGAAGGAGGGAGCCCACGGGACCCTGTGCCTGTGGAAGGTGGGGGGGGGGTACAAGACCCC